CAGCAAGCAAGGGAGATCCCACACTTCCAGCATGTCTTCTAGAAGTAAGAGGGAAAACAGATCCCCTCCTTCTTACAAGAAAAAAAAGGCTGGATGGGTCCCCCAGCCGTTCCAGGGAACCCAGTCCATTGATGGGGTCCTGCTCTGGGAACTCAGTAGTCTCAGATGCCTCCTTCACTAAGAAGAAAGGAGAGCTCTCCGAGGAGGAGGAAGAACCCACTGCAACCACTATGCAGACACAACTTTTTCCTTAGGAGTTCTATAGCAAGCTGTTGCCTAAAGAGGAAGAAAAAGAGAGATTGGATTTATATCCCGCCCTTCACTACCCAAGGGAGTCTCAGAGTGGCTTACAAACTCCTTTCCCTTCCCCTCCCCACAACAGACACCCTGTGAGATAGGTGGGGCTGAGAGAGCTCTGACACCTAAGGTGTTGTGGGCCCTTAAAATCCCTTATAGCAACAAGGAAAAGGTGGACCCAGACCCAGATTTTCTGGATGGCTCCTTCTGAGCTCTGCCCAAGGCTGGGGGGGCCCTTTGGGAGTTCCCTTTCCTTCTGTGTTTAATGCTGTGGTCAACTCCGAGTGGGAAGTCCCTGTCAAGCCAAAGGCTAACCACAAATTATTTCTAAGTTTTATTCTTTAGTTCCCGAGGCAGCCAAGAAATGTAAGCTTCCACTAGTCGATGATCTTGTGTCATCTGTGCTCCACCTCTGTGCTCCCGATGGAATCTGATGGTTTCCCAAGAATCTTTGTGAGAAGTGCATTGAACAAGCTCTACACAAGGACTTTGAAGCCTCTTCCACATCTCTGAAAGCCTCCACCGCCTACTCTCTCTTCACCAGGGCAGCTTATACCTGGGCTTCCTATCTGGAAGCAGCAGATAGTGATGTTCCCAAGGCATTCAAGGACGAGCTGGAGATCACCCTGGCCACAGCCACTGCAGCTGATGGTTCCTTGGATGCTATACAGCTGTCCGCCAGAGCCATGGCCTCAAGCGTCACAGCTGGGTGCAACACCTGGCTACAGAACTGGGAGGTGGATAAATACCTTGTGGAAGACAAAGATAAGAAGCCCTACCTTCCAGGAGGAAGAATGGTAAAGGTAGGAGACGCTTTCATTCCTTTTGAGGATCCAAGTGATCACCAGCCCCTTCAGGAACCAGTTCTTCCAGGCCCTTCAAGGGTAGGTGGCAACTAAAACAGCAGAGTTCCAACAGAGCAGCCAACTACAACAAAGCAGATCAGCACAACAAGGGTTCCAAGAAGACTCCCTCCTCCTGACTATCAAGGATCTTCGGTCTCCCAAGGAATCGGGGCAGGGGGTGGCTGGGGATGGTTTGCAGCTTGATGGGAACTCTCCATCTCAGACACAGTCACCTATGGCTATTTGCCAGAATTCAGCATGACATTGGGCAACCATTTTCTTCAGGTCCCCAGGAAATATTCTGAGCAGAAGCATCTCCTTCTCCTGCAAGCACCTGCTGGACATCGATGTGACAGAGCCAGTGCCCAAGGCACAGTGGACATTGGGGGGGGTTACTCTGTTCTTTTTCTGTCCCAAAGAAAAATGGGGACATCAGAGCTATCCTGGACCTCAAATAGTTGAACAGGAGGATAGGAAAGAAGAAATTAAAGATGGAGACCGTGAGATCCATCATGGCCTCCATTCAAAAGGGAAACTTCTTGGCTTCTCTAGACCTCTCCGAAGCCTATCTTCATATACCCATTCGAGAAGCCTATTGGAGGTTCTTGAGGTTTACCTACAATGGGAAACACTTCCAGTATCAGGCCCTTCCATTTGGTTGTGAAGACAGCTCCACAGGTTTTCACCAAAGTCCTGGTCATGCTCGTGGCATACCTGAGGACTCAGGGCGTGGTGATGTTTCCATTTTTAGATGACATCCTAGTAAAAGCCCCATCTTTCCAGCAGGGAATAGAAGATGTGAACAGGACATTCTCCTGCCTCCAGGAACATGGGTTTGTGATAAAAATGGAGCAACTTGATCTTGACGCAGTCAATCTTATACCTCAATGTTCGAATAGATACAATTAGGACAAAATCTTCCTGTCCCCAGAGCGACAGCAGAAACTGCATTTAACCTTTCAACAGGTGATCAAGAGCTCCAGGGTGGACCTGATGCTGTTAGCAAGGCTCCTTGGGATGATGGTATTCTTCCAGGATGTGCTCCAGTGGGCCAGGTTGCATGCCTGCCCCCCTGCAGAGGTTCTTCCTTCCTTTTCAGGATTTGATTGCCAACCGTCAGTCTAAACTCCTTTGGCTCCCCAGCTCTCTCCATCAGGAGTTCAATTGGTGGTTGACGCCCTCAAGGTTCCTGGAAGGGAGTCCCTTCAGGGAACCAAGGAGAGTCAGGATAACCATGGATGCCAGCATCACCAGCTAGGGAGCCTATGCCCAGGGGAGGACGGCTCAGGGGGTTTGGTCCCTGGACGAGTCCCTTCTGTGCATAAACTTATTGGGGCTGAGGGCAATAAGGGTTGGTTTCCTGACCTTCCAAGATCTCCTCTCAGGTCAACATGTCATAGTGCACACAGACTACATGACGGCCAAGGCCTAAGTAAATCGGCAAGGCAGCACCAGGCATCAGGCTCTTCATCAGTAGGTGCAGTCCTTATTTCATTGGGCAGAAATTCATCTGAAGTCAGTCAAGGCAGTGCATGTCGCAGGACAGAACAACTTTCTGGCGGACTGTCTGAGCCAATACAAGAAAGGAGAATTAACAGTACAGAATAATATAAAATACAATAACTACAGTTCACTAAAATTTACTTTACGGTGCTCCAAAATTAGTTAACTATAAAATTAAAGATGGGGTTCTAAAGATACTAACAACAAGCAACAATAATAACCATAAATATAGCAGCAACAATATACGTCCATACAGTGTTGTCCTCTGCCAGGCACGTCTCGCACCCCCAATAGTCCCCGCTCTGGGGGTGGTCAATTTGCGGGACCAATAAGGGGGGCGTAGATAGAAGGATAGTAACGATGGCAACATGATGATGTAGGCGTAATGATGGTGGCGGTGGCGGCTCCTACTCAAAGGCCTGGTGGAAGAGTTCCGTTTTACAGGCCCTGCAGAACTGCAACAAGTCCCACAGGGCCCAGATCTCTTCTGGGAGCTCATTCCACCAGGTCTCTTAAAAAAGAGACTTGTTAGTTATTGTTCTACAGTTATTGTTTTTTCCATTTGGACTGGCTGAGTTGGCACTCGAGATCAGTCAGAGTGGATGTTGAACAGAGCAGTAATTCTTCAGGGCTGCCTAAGATTCGGAAGAACAGAAGTGGATCTCTTCACCACAGAGCAGAACTACCAACTTCCAGAGTTCATGACAAGAGCAAACTGCACTGGGGCCATTGGAGTGGATGCCCTCAGCTGGGACTGGCCAAATCAGCTGCCATACACGTTCCCCATAATTCAGCTGGTGCAAAGACTGATCCAAAGGATAATCAAGCTAGGTGTGGAAGTGGTTCTAGTGGTGGTGCCATGGAGGCCTTGGTTTCAGGATCTGCTTTCTTCCCAGAACACCTGGAGGCTTCCCCTGAGGGAGAACCTTCTTCTACAGAGGAGTATGCAACATCCATGACCAGGAATGCTAAATCTCACAGCTTGGAGGTTTAGTGGTCACTCCTCACAAAGATAGGGTACTCAGAGGGAGTGGTTTCCACCATGTTAGCTTCTAGCCAAGGCCCCACTAACAGGGTCTATAATCGCACATGGCAGATGTTTCAGGCCTGGTGTAAGGAGGGGGTTAGGAAGTGACTGCTTCCTTCTTCCAACCCTGTCTTTAAGTTTTTGTTTCTCTCATGGGTTGAACGGTTGTAGTTATTAGTTAGGGTTTTCCTTCCTAACAGAGTGTCTCTGTTTGAGTTGTTGTTGTTCCTAAAAGACAGAGAATCGAGGCTTGTCAACAGACTGGAGTTCTGGGAGATAAGCCCCTCCCCTTCAGGAATAGCAAAGATAGCGAGCCTGCCCTTGAAGCTAGACTGCCAGAAGCAAAGGACTGCCCCATTCCTGGACCACTGAGAAAGGAAGAGTCATAGTAAGTGAGAAAACTTTCCATTCCATGAGAGCTGTGTCAGCCTGTGCCGCTTTCCTGGGAGGTGTGCCCCAGATGACATCTGCAATGCAGCTGCATGGTCCTCTCCATCGACCTTTGTGTTGCACTACGCTCTGAATGTCAGAGCTCGTTGGGATGCCTTGTTTGGCCAGACTGTTGAAGGCCATCATCCATTAACCTTCATTTTGCTTCTGGTCTTCAGGTAGATCTGAAACAGGTAAAGGGACCTTGGGGCTAACTGTCTTAACCTGGCTGCCAGCACCCTCCATCCTGTTTGGCTTAAGCTCGCTAATCACCCAACTGTGGGACTGCCCAGAGACCAAGAAGAAGATAAACAGGTTGCTTACCTGTAACAGATGATCTTCGAGTGGTCATCTGTGCAGTCACACCCACCCATCCTTCCCCACTACTGGCATCTCTCGGTCACTTACCTGAAGTTGATGGGACTTACCGGTGGCAGTCTGAAGGAACTGAGTGGGAGGGCACTTTCTCCTCTGCTCCAGGTATGCACAATCAGTGCCTGCTCCCCAGAGTGCAAGAGAAAAGCATGTAAAAAATGTTAGATATTCTCCGCAGTCGAGTTCGTGCGCAGGCGCTAACCCAAGTGTGTGACTGCTCAGATGACCACTCAAAGATCATCAGTTACAGGTAAGCAACCTGTTTTTATGACGCCTGTGTGGGAGGGTGGAAAGAAACCTGGCCAGAAACCCAATGTGATACATATTCCCTGCTCCTTTGCTTTTCCATATAAAACCAACTAGAATTTCCACATCTTTCAGAGGTGTACTTGCACTTCCACACACATTCTGCAATGGCCAAAGCTGCTTAGACTATGGCCTTGGCTATACTGAGGTATCTAGTGAGGTACCAAGCAATCCTGTATGCATGTTATGATTCAAAAACAATTTTCATTTCCATACAGAGGTGCTCCTGGACCCCTGTCGGACTTGGTGCCCATCATCATCCTGCCAAGCAGTTTGCCAACTTCAGGAATCAGGACCTCAGAATCCCCAGCTGGTACAATGCCAATCTTGTGACATAGAATTCTGTTCAGCATGCAAATCCAATTGGCATCCAGGGCAAGGTTGTCAAGAGAATATGCCAATCAGCTTCCTCCCAGGGGAGACAAGGTACAGGAATTACTAAGTAATGTAGGCCCAGTTCCTAGCATGCTGAATAGCAGCCTTCCCTCCAGCATTTGCTTGGGTGTGTCATTAGCAAAGTTTTATTTATAGCCATTTCCTCCCTTCCTCCCACCACTGCAGATAAGATTGGCTTGATTCTGAAGCCCCAACATAAGCTAGCATTTTCCCACGTTTGGGGAAGGAATAAGCCAGGGCTTGATATATTCTAGGAGCCAGAACATCTTGGTGCCTAGAAATTTCATTGGGATGCCAAGTATTTTCAACAGTCATTTATTTTAAGTGCCTCTTGGTGATTCTCAGAAGTACAAACCTTATTTAGATGATGGAGAAGGCTGGCTTTCTGTTACGTTGACAACCAGGTTTACCCCATATTTATACACTACAGCGCTTGTTATAGCGTTAAAAAACGACAAGAAATAGCACAGTTTAGGATTAGGTTTCACAAGAATTAAAAAGTATGGTAATTAAAATATTAAAAGCCTGAAGGCTGAAAAACAGATCTGGTTTCTAAATTTTTAAGGTGGCTCATAATGCCAAGGAAAACCTATCAGGGCCTGGAATAAGGTGTTGCCTTGCCATGCTGTTACCTTTTGTGATACTTTTACATTGTAATACCTGGTTTGCAGTGCCTCAAGAATAGCGTATGCCGTGTCTTTGCTCCATAATGGTGTCATTCAGTTTCACAAGAGGTTAGCTAAAGCATGGGAAGGAGCCTCAGCATTTCCACCTCCCATATGACTACAGCCTTCTGACTTTATCAAGCACTGTAAGAAAGAGTTGTGAAGCAGCAGATTCCATGCAACTAAAAAATGACGTCAGAAGGAGCCCAAACCAGCCTGTACGACTGACCTGTTTTTCACCTTGTATTGTACTGGTCCTCTGCACAGGGGGCCAGTGACAGTCTTGGAGCCAAATTAGTTGTTATTTTTTTAAGAGTCAGCTCACTCTCCCTGCAGCCACACAGCTTCAGGCTTGACTACAGCAAAGTGCTGCTCATAGTGCTCCCCATGAACACAGTTCAGCTAGTTCAGAATGCAAACGCTGTATTTGCATCGTGTCAGATAGGCAGGTGCACATCCAGACTGTTTTATGCCAGCCTCGCTGTCTGCATATGTCCTTCTGAGCTTAATTCACCTTCAGAGTCCTTCACAGCTACCTGTTCGAAGGTACATCTCTCCCCGTTGGTACTCAGTGGCTACCTTAGGACAGAATGCTATGTACTGTCAGTGTCCACCTCAGTCCAAAGTTGCAGTTGCAGTTGGAAGATGTGCAGTTGCAGTTGAAGATGTGCAGTTGCAGTTGAAGATGTGGGCTTTTTCTGTGGCAACTCCTATTTTATGATGCCGTTGTCCTGAAAAGATGAGGAGGACTGTTTTGTTTTGTTTTTTTCTTTCTCCAGGATAGGCTGCAAGGCATTTTTTATTTCACAAAGCATTTGGCGAGTGAATTGAGTCTGCTTGGACATTTTAAATTTGTTATAATTGTTCTATAATTGTATTTAACCATTTTAATCCTTCCTGTCAACCAAAAAACAAACTGGTAGCCAGGCCTGGTGACATATCAAAACAAATTAAAATTCCAGTGAAAAACATCAAATTATGAAAAAAACATTATGATAGGGTCAATCTAACCATGATCCAAGGAGCCTCCCTCCAACTTAGGTGGCTCTTCTTCCAGCTGAAGAACCCTAAGTTGGAAAAAGGCTTTCTATGCTGGAGGAATGCTTCAACTTTGCATTGGGGTAGTAGGGTAGGCGTAACATGCACCTCAGTAGCAGAGACATACAGGGAGAAAGAGAAAGGGAAAACTCACCGGGAAGCTTTGGAAAAGAAGCCTTTGCCTCATACCAGAAATAGGACTGCAGTGCTAGGTGGACATCCAGAGAGGGTGTTCCAAAGTTGGGGCTCCATGGAGTGCATCTGGTCACTGCGTAAAAAGGCTTCTGTAAAAAGGTGGAAGGCAACATGGCTTTGGACGATGATCTGAACTTCAGTCTGTTAGCCCTCATCTAGCCAGCTATGGGCTCCAGGTCATATCCACTGTCTGACTGGATCCCAGTTGATCCAGTAGTAGAGCTGGGTGACATCAGCATAGTGATTATGCTTTTCTCCAGGTGATCTCGTGTCTGTGGTTTAATATCAGGGGGCTTAATACTATGGGGGCAAGACTGATTCCTGTGGAAACCCACAGTATAAACGTCATGGGCTTAAAACAGGACCCCCTTAGGACTGCCTTCTGGAACCAGTTGGCCAACTAGGAGTGGGCCCACCAGAGCATGGTACCCTCCCTCCCACGTTCACATCTCAGCTTGTGGGTCCCAAAGGACACCATGGTCAATGCTCTTGAAACCAGCCAAAAGATCTAGGAGGAGGAGAAGAAGAAGAGATTGGATTTATACCCCGCCCTTCACTACCCAAAGGCGTCTCAGAGTGGATTACAAACTCCTTTCCCTTCCCCTCCCCACAACAGACACCCTGTGAGGTAGGTGGGGCCGAGAGAGCTCTTGACAGAAACTGCTCTTTTTCAAGAACAGCTCTTATCAGAAGGTCATCCAGCCAGGTGCAAGTGGAGGAGTGGGGAATCAAACCCAGTTCTCCCAGATTAGAGTCCACACACTTAACCACTACACCAAACTGGTAACGTTTTTCCTGTGTCTCCCCCAATATGTCTGATGTTATTTATTTGGAAAACGTATTTGCTGCCTCTCGTGATCTGCTCAAGGCAGCTCACAATAATCAAACAGAGCCAAGCAAACAATATAGGTCATCCTTCAGGGCGGCAAGCCAGTGTCTCTGCCAAAACCCAAGATTGCTCTCAGCATGGTATTTGTTTTTGATCCAGTTTTATGTGTTTTGATCATACTTTACATAACCTCTTTAAACACCGGGAAAGCAGTGTATATATAAATCAAGTACTGCCAAACTGTCTCTTCCAGCTCTGTTTTTAAAATGGAAGAAGATGATGCTCCAATCAAACGCTGCCCCAAATGCAAGGTTTATATTGAACGGGATGAAGGTTGTGCTCAGATGATGTGTAAAAACTGTAAACATGCCTTTTGCTGGTACTGTTTGGAATCGCTTGATGTGAGTATGCTTTGCGCAGCTGTGTTTGAGAGGGAAGAGATTATTGCACGTTATCCCAGTAATGGACAATAAATGCCCTTGCCAAGTGAACGCATTCTAAATTGCATGTTGATTGGATGGTTAAAAAGTATAAAGAACTTAACAAATGCCCCAAAGTTAACAAATGCCAGAAATCAGATTGCCTTAGCATAAGAACATAAGAACATAAGAGATGCCAATGTTGGATCAGGCCAAAGGCCCATCCAGTCCAACACTCTGTATCACACAGTGGCCAGAAATACCAGTGCCATCAGGAGGTCCAGCAGTGGGGCCAGGACATTAGAAGCCCTCCCGCTGTTGACCCCCCCCCCCAAGCACCAAGAAGACAGAGCATCACTTGCCCCAGAGTCCCTATCTATACCTTGTGGCTAATAGCCACTGATGGACCTCTGCTCCATATGCTTATCTAATTCCCTTTTGAAGCCGTCCATGCTAAACAAAAATGCTATGATGCAGACATGAGCGATTACACTTAAACTAATTGCTCACTACAGTAACATCACATGATCGGCAAAGGAAGGAAACATTATCACAAAAAAAATAAATAGATAAAAAATGTCATAGGTTATTCCAAAGGCGATGGTGTGGTTTCCTGGTCACACTGGGACAGAATGCCTCTCGCCTTAGTTTTGGCTGCCCCGTTCTCGACCCCTGGAGAATGAAAGATTCTCCCGTATGAAGCTCCCCATTCACTCCAGTCATCTTTGGAGGCCCCACTTCAGGGCACCCCTGCCATCTGAGCCTAGACAGGTGGCAGCATAAGAAAGGGCCTTCTTGGTCATGGCCCCAGAACTTTGGAACTCCCTCCCCAAGTCCCCCGTATTGTTGCCTTCTGCCAGCGAGTGAAGACTTTTGCGTTCAGTTAGGCATACCCCTATTAACTGTTGTTGGTCCTCTTCCCTGGTTTTGTGTTATATGTGTTTATATGTTTTTATAGAATGGTTTAAACGCTTTATATATACTTCCACATGAAATGCTGTTAATGTCTTTTAAATGTCTTAATGTTGAAATGTTCTGATGTTTGCCACCTTGGGGGACCTTATTTGGGAGGAAGGCAGCACAGAAATGTTTTAAATAAATAATGCGCCCATGCAGCTTTGCACATTCTGGTCCAGTATTCATGTCAGCTACCCACCCCCCACCCCGCCTCTAGTGTGTACTGAGATTAACGTGTATGCTGATGTTCATTCTCATGGGTTTTTCAGTGCAAGCGACTGATTTCCAAGCAAATCTTTTGACAAGGAGAAGCACTGAATAATGCTGAGTTCAGTGGCTGCGGCCAAAGCATGTATTTCTGTGAGCCACATCCCCGAGCTGCAGCCTGCCTCCTTGTGAATCAGCAGCCAACTCAGAGTGACGTCATTTCACCTTGCAAAGCCGTGCCAGGCCTTGTCACTCCAGCGTGGGAGGAGGATGCATCGTAGTGCCAAAAGTCGTTTCTCTCTACTTTTGGCACTTAGTGGCATCCACATCCCTCAATGACAGTCACCGTTTTCTAATAGTCTCCTATCTGCTTTTAGTATTCTGCTGAAAAACCAAAGGAAAATCCTGCGTCAGTCTTTTGTTGCAACCCTGGCAGGCATGTTGCAATCCTAACAGTACAACCCTAATATCAAGACCCTTCTGAACCCCTTGTCTTCAGTGCTTTCAGTATCTGTCATGTGACATTTTTGATGGTTTGTTTTGAAAAGGATAAGTTCCCAATCACCAGTTTCACCAGAAAGGTTTTCTATCTTCTCTCTTGGTTTTTAGGATGATTTTCTCCTTATACACTACGACAAAGGACCTTGTCGAAATAAGCTGGGTCATTCCAGGGCATCAGTGATTTGGCATAGAACACAGGTAGGTGCTAGATCTCTTGGATACCTTTCATTTGTTGCACAAAAGTTAATTGAGAAAAGCATGGGCCCAAGAAGAACAGACAGAGAGAAAATAGGAAGGGTTCCCCCCCCCCCCACGTTTTAATCAGAGAATAATTTTAACTGCTTCCTTCTGAGTAAATCTGATGAAAGTCTAAGGTGTGTGTGTGTGTGTGATAGGAACATGGATTCTATGTGAGGAGATATGCAAAGTCATTTATGTGTGCCTTTCAGGGAAAATAGAGGTGGCTATTTGATTGGCAGTGCTCTTGGGAATTTGTGAAAAACAGAGGCCTCAGTCACAGTAGTCTCCTGCAGCTATGCCAGCGTGTTGCTGGATCTTCGATGGGCAGAGAAAAGAGAGAGCAGTAACAGGATTTACAGACTAATCCTGAAAAAACTTGGCTAGATTGAGGTGGCCTGTAATGCAGATGTCTAACTATGTAAATTTACTATGCTTTCAGAGTTCTGACACTGGAGAGTATTAAACAAATTAACGCTAAAGAGAAACTGTACTGTAATTCTATAAACAGCATGATGTTGCAGTGGAGAACTTTGTTCCTAGTGCAAAAAAAAAGTACAGTTCAAAGAGAAAGCAGACATAAGCAGCTGTATTTTGCAGATCAAGTGGTGAAGCACATGGGGAATACTGTCTCAATTTTTTTTTATTTCTGTTCAATGATGATATTAAGAAATTGTGGATTTTTAAAAATCCTGCAATATTTTGTCTACTATTACATAATGGCGTAATGTATCCTTCAAAATTAATTTTGTTCAACAGCGCCACCTGCTGATAAGACACAGTAAAGAAAAGGTTAAGTCATAAAATCTGAAGCAAAATGCCAAAACTGATCACTGTTCTAGCAGCAAAATTGTACATGTCATAGATGTGATGGTGAAATAATTTAGTCCCCTCCCCCAGCCTTTAAAAATTATTAATCATATCTGGGCACATTATACCAAAATATAAGGATAGCCTCTCAGAATGCTGTCTCTATCTGTAGTGCTGCCCCTAAGGTGTAAAATTCTCTTACTTCTATGGGAGTTTGCATATTAATCAATCACACTTCACAGTACCTTCCATATAAGTGGTTCTTGGCAGTCTCGTAACTTGAAGACTTTAATGTTCCATTAAGGTAACCAGAAGTGACATTTAATAGTCTCTCCCCAAAACCCAGTTTGGGTGGCTCAGTCTTTGGCTCAGCCTTGTCTTCATCACTTGTTCAAGTATGCATGTCCCTGCACTAGCACACATGCCTACTATTCCTACTGCCTCTGTTGTCTTCTCTTTCTTTCTGTCTCTGCTCTCTCCCCCTTTGGCAAAGTTTAGATTGCAAATTCTTCAGAGGAGGGATCTGTCCATGTAATTGCCCTATTCTTATTTCTGGAGAGGGAATGCAGTAAGTCCTAGTTTCAGTCCTTGGTATCTTCACTGAAAAGAATCAGATAGGTGATGATGAGAAAGTCCTCTGCTTGAGAACCTATAGAGTTGCGTCCAATCAAAGTGGACAAGAATGACCTTGACAGACCACTTATCTGAATTCCTGTAAGGCAGCTTTGTGTGTGTGTGTGTGTGTGTAGTGCATTGAAACAGTTAACTTTTCTCCAGTCTCCCTTAAAGCAGTTTGAGAACATTGGTGATCTCACATCCTTTTCTATTGTATTTGCATTTCAGGTCGTGGGCATCTTTGCAGGCTTTGGTCTGTTGTTGTTAGTGGCCTCTCCTTTTCTTTTACTCGCCACGCCATTTGTTCTCTGCTGCAAGTGCAAATGTAATAAAGGTGACGATGACCCTCTACCAACTTAGATGGTGTGAAGATGGAACTGGTTCTTTGCAGTACGTCTCCCACCCCTTCTTGCACTTAACATTGAGTTTAGCGTTTTGGACCCAATTCTGACTCCAAGCAAGAGCTGAAGTGCCGTGATGCAGCAGCCACCGTAGCTGCTTTCTCTCAGTACCAAGAAGGTGTCTGGCGTTCCAGGTGTTCCAGTGTGTTTAGGGGCTGCCATAAAACAAGCTGGACATCAGAAATGTATGCATAGGTAACACAGGACATTTCTTGTTGGCCCTGAGGCTCCTTTTGCAGACGTGGAACTGAGTTGTCCTTATATTAAAGGGAAACTTTCCACATATCAGTTGCGTCAAACTGAGGTGTCTTACTGCTAAACCTATGTGTTTTCAGTACCACTTGCCATTTTAATATCAGTCCATTTTAGTATGACTTTAAGCATCTCTTTTTTTACAATTAGAAAATATCAGAAAATATCCAAACACAACAATAATGGCACCCCAGTAAGGTACTTAAAGACGATCCATTGCCTTTGGCTTGTCAAAGGCAAGAAATTGGATTGCTCCTGCTAACACGTTGGGGGATTGTGTGAGTTGTTTTGTGCAGATATACTTTAAATATATATATATATATATCATAGGTGTTTGGTTTTTTAATGTTGGAATTAATTACTCTTTTTCTGATTTCTTTTCCTGGATTTTTTTTTTCCTTTGCCGTTAGCTACCTTCTACATCAGTAGGGCTGCCTAACCTCCTGGTTCAGGGTGTCTTTTTCTGTACATACAAGAGAGCATTCTGTTGAAACCAAAAGAGATGTTCTCCTAAATATTGTGAAGATTCAAGGCATGACATATATCTGTCTTGATGACAGGTACTGATGTAAGTAAATTAAGGTCACAATCCTTCCCCACTCGGGCACAACTCTGTGCACAGGGAGGACCAATCATAGGGCTTAACTTCCTTCCTCTACCCAGCTGGCCTTTAACATGTGCACGTGCACACACACACACACACTAACCACTGCACAAAATGGGACATCTCTCAGCTATTCATGCTCTTCCCCAGTGTCCCAGTTCTCAAGTTACTTGAACCCCCCAGCAGGACTGTCTTGACATCCTGATCTTGGAGGTGGGGGGGTCATTAATGGGCCTCCTTAATGTCTGGAGCACACCAAACACCATCTGGGGGGGGGGAAGGGAGCTTTCTTGACCCTCGTGGCCGTCTAGCCCGGCAACGCTGAACTGTACTTGCAGAGGGAAGGATCGTGTTCCAGAGTTCTAAATTTATTGATATTACTGTCAGCAGCTGCATCCTATTAACTGAGTATGAAAACTTCTAAACTTTTTTTTGCTTCATCTAATAAAATGCCTGCAGTGATAACATGTAAAATCTGTTTAAACATTATAAATATTTAGTCCACTTTCAAACCAGTTATATCTCATGCTGTATGATACTGTGACAATTAAGTTTTTTTTTCTTGAAGAAATATCCATTTCCCATTTTAAATTTTGATTGTTTTGCTGCACTTCTCCAGAGGGGTGTCAGATATGGAAATCAACATACTGTTGATTTAAAATCATATCTGCTGTCTACTGGGGTAAAACTATGAACAACTGGCAGAAAGCGTGGTGGAAATAGAAAATCTTTAGTAGTGTGTCCCACTGCAGTGAACAAGACGAAACTTCAGGGCTATATGTATGTAGATGTTTTGATTGGACTGTTCCATGTTTCTAATACACACATGATTCTTATTTTCTCAGAGACTTGGTCCACTGACTACAATCGCAGTTGTGTTTTTTTAAACTAAAACACAAACAGTTTTCCAAGCAAGTGATTATCTGGATGCACCAGCAAAATAAAGCACAGCGTGTCTGCTCACAGTTAGACGGGCTGCTGCATCTTGATATAAACACTTTGTCCCCTTCTCTGCTTTTCCTATGATCAGCAGTACTAGCAAAGTCTCTTTTGACAAGTCTTCTTCCTTATCCTTTTTTTTAAAAAAAGAGGAATTGAGTAGACAAACATCAGCCAGCAGCAGAGAGGCGTGAGAACGTAGGATTCACTTCATTCTCTCCAGATGCACCAGTTTGTCCATTCTGATTTGCATGTGCAGAAAAACCTTCTAGGGCATTCTGTCAATCTGACAGCATCACATTTACAGCAAACTGAACCGTCTACTACCCATAAGCAAATGGCATTCGTGGAATCCTTTTCTCCTGTCAGATTGCAATTCTGGGTCCTTTATTTGGAAGATGAATTAGTGCCATACCATAGAGAACTCCATCAGAACTTTGGTATGCTTTAATTAGGGGGGAAAGGGGTTCTTAGTGATGTGCCACATTTTAAAATCACTTTTCTACATATCATATGTAACTCTTGAGTTTTAAGTTTGGGGCCTTGTCTTTCAACCAGTAATGGGCATTTGTTAGCAGCTAATTTAATCATTACATGTTCTGAGAATGGCAGTATTACACTGAAATGAAAGGGGTAATTAACACGATCTAATTTAAACGGCATTCTGAAGCCTCTGAGAGCACTGCATACGTTCACATTTTTGTTGCAGTTTGATTTGTTATCAGATGAAAACTGAATTTCAGCTCCTGATACCCTTTGTATTTTATTTCTGTACTGTTTCTTGCTTTGGTTACATTGCCTTAAATCCTCTTTTAATGGAGGGTTATATAATTTTTATATCTGTCGCAACCGACATCTCATCGTAAGGGCTGTTAGGTTTCTTTCCCAGCTGACCCTGGACTACTCATTTCTTCCCTCACTGAAAAGAAAAGGAAAACGTTTGGCTGTCGAACTGAGTTTTGAGCATCATCACATAGCAAGTCAGTGTATCGAACCTTAGTTTGCCCACATGTAAACAAATTGTATTTGGGGGAGGTGTTTTTGACTAATCATTCAGCCTTAGGGTAGTTACTTTCAACTTAAGCCCTTGCCCCATGAAAAACTCTCCTTGTTTGAAAGGCAATTTCGGATAACAGAGATCCCAGGAACAGTTTGGAACAGTTCTTTTTAAATACAGTGGTATTAATACGGTGGTGCCTGTGGTAGTTGGCACAAATATCTGTCTACCACGCTTCAGCGCATCACAAATCTTGCATGTGGACATAAACAGAAAAGGGTTTTTTTTTTAAAAAAATGTACTTTTTAAAGAGATATTTGGACATAAGGATAAATAAGTAGATTGTTTTTAAGGGAGTATATGAATTTTGACCAAGAGCTGGAGGTTGTGACTTGTAAACAAAGTCAGATATAGTACCATCAGTTTAATGGTCCACCATTCTTTTGTGTTTTGATTTCCAGATTGTTCAATTTGCTACGCGTGTGCGGTTCATCACAGTTTTCATTCCTGTCTCTCTCCACCCACCCTGCACCTTACTGGGTTCCAGGTGTACATGGGCATTGATTTTTTTTTTTCAATTTAAGTCCTAAAAGGGATCTTAACGCTAAGCTGAGATCATATCGAGACCCTTTCCATGTAGCCTTTTAGTCAGTATGCAGAAAGGAACTGTGCCTTGGTAACCTGTCAGAGAAAACACTGAACCGACACTGTGGCAAATCACAATGCACTGATTCCAGAATGTTAGAAATTTTAAAATTAATTAGGAAAGCATGTAGAACAGAGTGCAGTGGCAAACCAACCCATGGAAGACAGTGAAATGGGGAACATCTGTGCTGTTTCAAAAGTTTTCTTAGACTTACAAAGTTATCAACGGGAGGCCTTCTCCGTAATGTATCATGTATCAAATAATAGTTAAAAAGCACTCTACAAGCTAGTTTTAGAAAGCCAAGATGTGGTGAGTTTCCCTTTAAAGAATATACTGAAAATGACAAAAATTGGAGGTGTTCGTTGCTGCTGCTGCTGCTGGCATTAAAGATATCAAAGGCCTCCTTTCATGCTTACTTTCCAATGCCCTTGAACAGAGTGAAAGCCTACTGTTTCTATTCAAAGACATGGGGTGCTTCTTGCTTAGTTGTATATGTATCTCTTTAACAGAGTTACAGGAACGTTAGGTACAGGTTATCTGCTGTGTAACTGAACCTTCCTTGTTCATTTTACTATGGATATATTTTTAACCTTGTATAGAGCAGCATGGACGAATCATGCTTATGTATAAATGATGTATTTGACTAGTGTACAAAAAAAATTCTGTTTCTGTATTTGAAATGTAACTACATTTTTGTGCCACTAACACTGTGATGTATAAAAGAGCTATTGAATGCCTTTGAATGTTGTTTTGTACTTTGAACCATATTGAAGAGTTTTATTTGTAATTTCAATAGATATTTTAAATGAATCTGTCTCCTGTGATTATTGTGTGGCTGGTGTGTCGCCCCCCCCCCTTTAGTATTCTGACCAGCTAAAGGGTTTGTTCCTAAGTTGTTATTTTACACAACTTACACAACAAAGTGACTCCCCAAGACAGTGTAAAGTATGCTCCAGGCCAAACTCTTCCTATCCCTCCCTCCCACATTTTCTAAGGCAGCTAACAAGCAATTTTAATAATGCCAATATGATTAAAACAGTATGCCCATTGTAAAAAAAAGAAAGAAAGAAAGCACATTTCACTTTGTAGTCATGACAGTGATGAGAGGGGGATGAGTGAATTTACTAGAACAATAATCCTAGCCATTGTTATTAATTAACACTTTAGCTCAACATGTACCTTGATTCATGGCACAGCCATTTTGCTTAACAGGTAAGCCTCTCTGAGGCTGTCCTTAGGTAAAGGTAAAGGTTTCCCTTGCTCGAAAGCCAGTCGAGTCCGACTCTAGGGTTGCGGTGCTCATCTCCGTTTCAAAGCCGAAGAGCCAGCGCTGTCCGAAGACATTTCCGTGGTCATGTGGCCGGCATGACTAAACACCGAGGCGCACGGAACGCTGTTACCTTCCCACCGAAGTGGTACCTATTTATCTACTTGCAATTTCTTGCTTTCGAACTGCTAGGTTGGCAGGAGCTGGAACTAGAGACGGGAGCTGACTCTGTCATGTGGCACCCGGATCTTGAACTGCTGAACTACTGACCTTCCACAGCCTGCAGTTCAGCGTCTTAACCACTTGAGCCACCGCAGCTCCTTGCTTTCCAGTAAATGTAAAGAGATCAAGATGTAGTGGAGACTGAATGTGTCACTTCTCTGCAAGCTTTTCAGTCTGTTTTCTGAACACCATGTGACTGACGGAGAAGCTGGTCTCAGAGCTGGTGGAAAGACCAACATCATCATCATCATCCCACATTTCTGCCCTCACAAAGACCGCTAATGTGGTCCATGATAAAATCACATTTTAAAACCATTAAAATGCAACTCCCCTCCCAATACACATTTAAAAAAAAACAGTTAAAATACATACCAAGACATAAAAACTGCAACTAAAACATTGTTCAGGAAGGCAGGATCACTGAGGGAATGACAAACGAAACAAAGTCCTGCTGGTGGAAGACAGCAACAGAAGGGGATAGATGAATCTCCCTGGGGAGAAAGTTCTAGAGTTTTGGTTCTCCTATACAGGCTTGATAACAAGAAAGGAAGGCAAAGCTTTCTTGTCCTACTCATCAAGTTCGCTTAAAAAAAAAAAGATTTTCAAGTTCACTTAA